GGTTTTGAAAATGATAATCCTCGTGTATTCGCGATTGGACATCCTAGCAATGTATCCAGTCCACCTAACTCTCTACACCTTAACCAATTTCACAATATCTGGATCGGTGTATAACTGATATAGTTCAAAGTTGTATCTTCGACGACATAGCCCATTTTCATTTACGGCCCCAGAAATCTTTCTAAGAATTTTTCTCTCAAAAATACCAAGAAGTCTTTCATCATTTTGAAATAAGGTCCACGTTTCAGCCCCATATATAACCGGTCTTGTTAAGGTCTTGTAAATATTAAGCTTTACTGCACGTTTTACATTTTTATTTTTTAAATGTTTCTGGAGACCGTGAACAGTTCTGGTTGCTTTTGCTATGCGTCTTTTTATTTCGTCGCTTGTCGTGTTTGTTGCGTTTACTAGCTCTCCAAGAAGTCTCTGAATTCTCTGTTGGACATTTCGGGGTTTTTAGAAACCAACATATACTTGGTTTTTTTCTCGTTTACCACAAGTCTTAATTCAGTTGCCGCGTCCGCAAGCCTTGTAAAACACTGCACCATGTCTCTCATACTTCTGCCCAATATCTATAACTATATCGTCAGCGAATGCGAGAATTTTCGTGTACCTATTAAAAATAAGTTAATAATTGTAATATTTAATCTATCGCAGTTTCCATCAGGATGTGACTGCTTTGGAGGGCACGTAAAACCGTCGGTTCCTCTATGCTAGTGTGCATCGACACTAGTTTCCTGAAACAGAGTTAAAGATGCAATTGGCGCCGGAACAATCCGAAAGGGCCTCCTCGCCAAAAATGCCATACAATATTATTAAGTATTATTCCATCAGTATACCCTGGATCAATGACACTAACCTCATACTAGCATATTCTTTAATTATTTATCCATTCGTTTGGCCTGAAGATGGGGTGTAGATCGTAGGTCCCAAAACCGGTAGCAGCCCCTTTTATATTACAATAAAAATATTTTTGATTGTAAGAGTTGTCTTTTATTATATTATATAAATATTATTATATTAATAATTGATAATTTCCGAGGTTTTAGCAGTATTATTAGGTGCAGACTTTCAAGATTATTTTGTGAAATTCTTTTAATCGTTGTTTCTCTTTTTGGTGGGTTTTCGAAATGTCCACTTTCATTTTAGGACGAAGTCATTTAAGATACATTGTAACTGGATAAATCAAATTGTATTGAAGTTTCGGTGTGTATTTTATCTTCCATGAATGCATTTACAACTTTCTGCTTTAACTCTTTAAAAATTAGAATACCTCTTGGCGTGATTAATTCAGTACAGAAAAGTTTAAAAAAAATTATAAAATAAACTCCACAAAAGTACTTCTTTACTTTCACTGCAAATATCTTTCTATTTTTGCGAAAATTATTAAAATGTTTTATTTGTAATGCTTTGTTAATTTACATTCGAAACTTGGATGTGAAAAAGTGTTTATATTATTAGATCGTCGAAAGCTTCCTTGTCGATAATTTTAATGTGTTAGGAAGCTTACTTTAATTTATTAAATCTTAACAAATTTTGTCAAGTTTTTTTTTTGTCAAAAAAATTTGTCAGTTTTTCTCTAGTTTTGTCCGATAGTTTACTAAAATTGCGCGATTTTTTTTACTTACAGTTCCCAAAAAAATGTTCCGAATTTTGAGGAAGCAGTGTATATTAGTTTTATTATGTAAATACCTCGTTATTTTTTGGGTATTATTTTCTTTGTATTCCGTTAACCACAAACAATCTCACGAATATAAAACTCTCGATTTGCTTCGATATCGGGTCACGATCTCTCTACGCACAAATTTCTATAGATCAACGCGTCTAATACCTATAATTATTTTTCACCTAGATTTCATGGGAAAATTGAAATTCAGAAATCTTGAAAATGAATTATATCGCAACTACAGCCATTAGAAAAATTTCAGTTCTCATGTTTAATGTTTCATTTTTGTCTGTTGGGTAATTCGGAAAATCACACGATTAAAAAATTTCTCCGTTGTTTCGGTTCTCATCGAGGACTTCAATCGTCTTCGAAACAAAAGAATGAAGAAAGAAAATCGCATCGACAGTGACGACGGACGTGGAGAGAAACGTGCCCCATTGTCTTTTGTTTCATATTATTATGTCGTTTGTTGTCGTGTATCTTGATCTTGCCGAGGTTGAAATAGGCTACGATTTGTTATAGTACAAGAAATTGGAAACTCATACGTCACATATTTGTTTATTCTAGAGTATGAGAAAACTCTGTACATTATTTTCTTTATATACTAGTAATTGTAAGTAGTTTTTTTAGTAGTAATGTAGTTTTTTTATAAATTCAATAAAACAAAACAATAAATGTCTTAATGTAATAGTAGGAGTCGTATAACAATAAATACAGTATGTTCGTACTTTTTAGTTAGCCATATTCCTTACACTTGGATTAAATTAATAATTTTACAAAGTTACGATGATCCTTCTTTCGTTTAGAATTTAGCTTCTCATTTAGAGGTTGTCGATTAACTTGGCAACTGTAACTTTAGATACTGTTGTACGGATCAATTCTACGGACTGTCCAAAATATTCTCACATATTGCTCTGCTAGGAAATTTTATGCTGTAGTATCTCATATTTTGATAATTTCATCTTTCTTTTCCTCTTATCTTCTTTTTCTTTTTCTACTTTCTTCCCAGACTTGTGCTTGTACCGTACTCTACCTATGGCTTTCTGTTGGTCACTGATTTATGTGCCCACTTTCATCTTTACATAGACTTGTTTGAGGTTTATACCCACTTTTTATCTTTTTTAGGTATTCATAAGCCCCCTCGTTGTTTTTGAAATTTTCTTCAATTTTTTGTATTTGTCCATTTTCATAGGCTCTTTTGATATTTCTACATATCTTGTCTGCTTTCCGTCTTGCGACTTCAAATGTTCGTCTTTCCCGTGTTCTTCTTGGTATATACATTTTGTGTGCTTCATTTCTTTCCTCTATTGCTTGTCTGCAGTCGTCATCGAACCGTGCTCCTCTTCTCGCCTTTTTCTTGTTTCCCAGGGTGGACGCTGCCACTGTCAGTTGTTGGACAGCTGTTTTGATATTATTCCATTTGCCCTCTATGGAGTGCAGTTCTAGCGTCCTTAAGTCATTTGTGACTTCTTCTTCTAACTTCTCTTTCCATTTCTGAATCTTCAGTTTTTCCAGGTTCAGTATGTTTGTTCTTTGTTTTCTTTTCAAACACGACGAGGAGCACAACATGCTCCTCATCGTATTCCCACATCTGAGATACTACTGGCTGCCCTTTTGTCTATCAGTACATGGTCGATTTGATTGGTTGTGGTTCCATCTGGTGACATCCATGTCAGTTTGTGTATGTCCTTACTACGTTTTTACTGGTTGCAAAATTTATTAAAAATTCCCCATTCTCGTTTGTTTCATTGTGTAGTGGGTGTTTTCCTGTTGTGCCATAGAACTGAGGCTCCTTGCCTATTTTAGCATTCATATCACCCATTATAATCTTGATGTAATTTTTGGGCGCATTGTCGTATACTATCTCCAGCTGTTGGTAGAAGCTTTCCTTTGTATGTTGTTCTTGTTCTTGTGTTGGGCAATGAATGTTTATCATTGCTCGGTTAAAGAAGAGAGTGCAAATTCTTAACTTGCATATCCTTTCACTGACTGCCTGGAAGTCTACGATTTTTGACTTAAAATCATTATCCACCACAAATGCAACTCCACATTCTTTGCTTCTTTTTTCCTTCCCACTATATAGAATTGTGTGCGTTTTAGTGTCCCAGACACCTTTCCCAGCCATCTTGTCTCCTGAAGAGTAGTAATAATGAGCTTATATCTTTTTAGTTCTTGCACAAGTGCGGTTTGAGCTCCTGGTTTATTTAGTGTCCTCACATTCCAGTTTCCAAATATATAGTCCATGTTTCGTAGCTTGAGTCGTTTCCGAAAGTTCCGTCCTATTTTCCGAGGCAAATGTTTAGGTTTCGCAACAGTGTGTTTTTTCCGGGAGTGGGTTGTCAGCTCACTGCCCAACCTTCCACCTTTACCCTGGCTTAGGACCGGCAGTGGTGACTCCTGACCTACTCGATCCACCCATTTGTGACAGCAGGTAGAGTTAAAAGAGTCGATTGGTATCATAGATCTTTTCACACTCCGACCTGTAAGGTATTTTGTGTATATCCTACATCTGTATTCAGTAGAACACATCTAGACTTCTAAAGAAAACAAATCCGTTTAGGAGATATATTTGTTATCTAGTTAGGCTCTAAAGACACCTTTCCTAGGTACTTATGGCTTAGGTTCCCCTAACGTTGGTAATGACATTGGCGATTTGTTCACTGTATTCTTAGTTGTTCAGCATTGCGTATTCCTGTTCAATCGCGAATGTTCTTGAGCCATGATAACTGCTTCTTTCATATTCCTCTGAGATTTTTTAGAACGCTCGGAGCATTTAGTCTGGCTGGAAGTTGGGTCGTTGCTTCATTTTTGTCCGATATACTTAGATAATTATCTCAGGGAAAGACTGTGAAGTTTTGTAGTACCTCGTTACTTTCAACACTACCTATATGAGGAAGACATTTCCTTATTCCTCATTGGAACGTTTATACCGTCGTGACTAGGTCGCCAGAGCCTCGTCTGTAAATCTAGCAGGATTTACCGAGCGACAAAAATGGCCACCACGCATGCAGGTGAGGTTGACATTTGGGCCGATATTTTTACCAGTCTCATCGTCGCCCCTTACACCCATAAGTATAAGTTGTAATAAAAAACAGCGGAACTAACTAATAAACTTAAAACATAATAATAAATTACAAAAAAAATAATATTTTTTTCACATCGTATCCGAAAGTCAAGTCAAGTTATATCTGATAAAAAACTACAGAGAAGATTTTTACCATTTGTTTGTAGTACATAGTAGAATTTTGTGCACTTGCTTTTATTTTGTTCAAGGTTATCACTTGTAATTGTTGCCGTACAAAAAGGAACCTGATGATTTAATTTATTCTTGCAGGTATTACCTCCAACCACGATCGACGAAAAATCGACCGTTTTTGACCAACTCGACGCCCCCCGGAACTCGACTCTCCAGTGATAATTCCTTAGGTTCCTTGAGGCTTCAAATACAGTATACGGAGGACAGGGTGTTCCCAGCTTCGGTATATGAAGACCTGAAGAATCTTCTCTTAGAAAGTACAAATATACAAGTAAGTATTACTATACCTATATACCTAACATTTTTTATGAAATAGTTGGAGTGTTGTTGAAAAACAACACACTGTATTTTACTTCCTTTTTCGTTTCCATTTATAATTTTTTAAGCGATATAATATCATTGTCTTCTATTTTTCTATCTAAAATGACATATTGTTACATCTTTTCAGAATGTTAATTTCGTCGAATAGGCTTTGGTAATGTTGGCATGGAAAATCACACAAAACCTGTGCCATCTATACGATATGCTTTTTTGCATATATTGAACACCAAAATAATGTTATTGCTGCACCTGTCTTTCTCTCAGGTTTATCCTGTTTTTTCTCACACACATATAAGCGTACCATCCAGCTCAGAGAGAGAGAGAGAGAGAAAGAGAGAGAGAGAGAGAGAGAGAGAGAGAGAGAGAGAGAGAGAGAGAGAGAGAGAGAGCGAGAGAGAGAGAGATGTTTCAATGGAACAGTTGGACCCACATGTCCGAAGACCATCACACTCTTTGATGTAGTGGTAGCTATCCGACCCTCAAGCTATGCCTTGCATCCCTCCCCATTGCAGCACATAACGAATGGGGAGGCTTTGTATTGATCCTTACTTTGGATGGTTAAGCCACCTGGCTTTAGGGGTAGTTAGAAGAGTGTGTTCCAATAAGTTAGTGTCCCGCTGTCCGGATTATGTGTGTTCGGTCACTCAGCCGTCTAATTGACAAAATAAATTTTGTTGTCCTCACCGGCTGAGCGCCCGAAGGATTGCGCGAACTTGGTCATTGGACCTACCTGAAGGCTTTTCACTTGGTTATGTTTAGTCCTTATTAAGTTAAATTGCTTCTCTAATATTAGGTGGTTAGTAAAGGGTTAAGATAAAATAATAATAAAAGGATCCTGTTTCTCTTATGTATTTTTTCCTTTGTCGCTTTTCTTGTATTATTTTCTTTATCTAGAGGATATATAAAATATCATTGCATGTGAAGCTTATGCTTAAATGACATTCTTGCCAACGTTTATATAACTAATTTGTATTTTTTGTTTTTAGCCTATTACAGCTACTCCAGTATACGTCCTTGGTGAGATTATTAATAAGATGGATATAGCTCAGCCTCTGGTGCGAATATTTTTACATTACGATAAGATTGTACCGATGATTAAAGCGCTAGCGAATGTTGAGATTTCTAATGTTACGTAAGTACACATACAGGCTTTACTTCTTGCAGTATCAAATTACAAAGATATACACAGAAAAAATGTGCTCCGTGCAGTCTGCGCCAGTTTAATAACTTGGGCTGCATACAAAATAGTACTTTGTGCAACAAATCATGGGAATATTTGTTTTACAATATAGTATTCACTTTTAACAATTTTTTGGAAGAAGACGGAAATGTTTGTTGCACAAAGCTTGTCCAAGTTAGCGAGAAACAGATAGGCTACTGTACTTGTCGTACATTATACTTTTCCTTTCAAATTTAATATGAAAAACAGAGATAAACTAGTTGTTAATTTTTAAAGCTTGAATACATTAATAATACATATGTTATAATAGTTAAGTTTTAAATAACTACCATAATAAATGATTTTTTTATTGTTATTAAAAGTAACATTGAAAGTTTAACTTTTTTGCATATACATATCGTGAAATTAGACAAACAAAATACTTTCAGAAACAGCAGTAGACTCATAAAATTCTTGATTTCACATTAATTAGAAATTTAGGCTTGAATCTCCAGCTGCGTTGATGAGGTAGTTATGAGAGTGTTGCTATTAAATCACCATAAAAAGTATTTCTACTTTTTGTTTCGACTTATCTCCTCCACTGGTGAAACAAATGGAAGGTCAGCAGTTATTTATGATATTTCTGTGAAGTATTCGTTACCTATTGCTGAGTGTTAATTGCTATTCTGACAGACAGACCAATGTTTCATTGTTCTACTTCACGTGCCATATAAAAGTTGTTCGATGTTGGTGATCACCATTACGAAAGTTTCTTGATCTTCTGCCACGTAGAATAATTGTCCTGCATATGGTATCTGAGTCCATTCACGAATATTTTTTAGCCAGGAAACCTGATTTTCCTACACATCTCCCACCTTCTATTTTGCCTTTAAGAATTAGTTGTAGTACTATTCTATATCGATTTCTCCTTATTATAGGTCACAGATAAGATATTTTCCGATGTTTAACAGTTTTTAGTAAATCTACATCTTTGTTGACCCTCCTTAGTACTTCCACCTTAGTTTTCCTTGTCGTCCAAGGTAACTTTAACATCCGTCTATGAATTAAATTTCTAATGCTTCAATTCGGTTCACGCTTGATACTTTTAGGGTCTACGCTTCTGCTCCATACAGGAGTACAGATCAAGAGTAGCACTTAGTCATTCTTTATCTTAGTTCTAAACTGAGACGGTTCTTCAAAGAAATGTCTTCATTTTCAGAAAAGTAGTTGTAATCATTACTATTCTGCGTTTTATTTCTATTTCTGAATTTAGTTGGTCCGGTAAGACGGTTCCTAAATATGTAATTTTGTGAACTATTTTGAATTTATTTTAATGCCCATTTCCTCTCCTAGTTCGGGAATTACGATCAAGCAGGATTTGTAGACCTTTCATGTTTTCTGACAGAATTACTTTATCGCCCGCACGTCTAAGGACATTAGTAACACCCCGTTAATATTTATTCTATGTGACTATCTATTAAAGTTATTTTTTAAATTATAGTCCTAGTAAACATGTTGGGGGGGGGGAAGGGGGCAAAATGAAACCTTATTTGACTTCTCGTTGTATTTCGTCGGTGTAGCTATCTCCAATGTTTACGGTAGCGGTTTGATTTCAGTACCGATTGCTATAAATCAATATTATATATATATATATATATATATATATATATTATATATATATATATATATATATATATATATATATATATATACTGGAAGAGTTGAATAAGGTATAGACCTAGACTAAGACAGTGTACGGGAAAGTACTTAATGAACTTATCTTAGTTCAGTTTCATTGTATCCTCCTTCAAGAGTGCAAGTTTAATAAAAAATACGGTTTTCAGGGATCCTACGACGATATTTCGGGGGAACACCCTCGTTTCGAAAATGATGGACGAAGCGATGCGTCTCATCGGACTACAGTACCTGCACAAAACCCTACGACCAACCTTAGAACTTATTTTTAACGAAAGGAAACCGTGCGAGATCGATCAAACTCGCGTCCGAGATGCCACGACGGTTGCCACCAACTTAGCCAATCTTAAGGTAAGCCATTCCTATTATACATAATTGAATTGAGATCATGTGTGTCGTTGTTTTTTTAGAACTTAATAATAATGGTGAGCTTATTAAGATTTTCTTAGAATTCTTTGGACTTTCTGATTAATGATTCGAAGTAACTTGTATTTAGATCCTCCAATGGTATGACTAAATTATGCTGTTTTTTTTTTATTGTATTTTGAAGTTCACTCTCTTCGTTTATCATCCTAAAGGCGTCATCGTTATTAGTGGGTCGTTAACGATATCTTCAAAATTAGCTCAAAAAGTACTTTGGTAAACCATGAACACCTATTTGCAATTATGTTCCGCCTTTTTATTTCTCCTGATGAGTTATTATTGGGATTAACTGATGTTCCTGGATATCTTAATTCTTTGACCGTTTCGTTAACTGATCTGTGTTAATATTTCCAGCTCTCGTGTTGGTGCTCTAGACTTTGGTTTTATTTTGATTTATATAATTATAATCTTATTTGTTCTGCTACTGTTATTAGCTCAGTTAGGATTTCCCTGTTTCATAATGTCCACTCTTCGCATATACTAGAATTTGGAATGATCTGTTAAATGTAGTTCCCATGCTATCTCAATTAGCGATTCGTACGATTTTTTCTAAGATTATATTAAAAAGGCCAGAGCTTCTCCCTGTCTTAACCCACTATTTATTTCAAATGGGGTTGAAGACTCGTTCTGAATTTTAACTGCTGATAGCATATTAGCCATCGTGAGATTTATTATGCTTATGCATTTTTTTGGAATTTCTAACTCATTTACAGCGTTGTAAAACTTGGTCTTATGCCGCTTTAAAATCTACAAACAGATGGTAGATATCTATAATAAACTCTTGCGCTTTTTCAAGAATTTGTCATAGTGTGAAGATCTGATTAATAGTTGAATGTTTCAGATCTAGAAACGCTTCGTTAACAATCATGCGAGATATTTGACAATATTTTGTATGCTGTATTTAGGAGAGTTTTCCGCCGTAATTATTACATTCTAGTGGTTGCCCTGTTTATGTAAAGGGTATGTTAAGCCTAAGCTCAGTTCCTTAGACATTTGTTCCTTAGACCAAATTTTACAAACAGTTTGTGCATCACATTGGCGATCTGCTCTACACCGAGTTTAAATAACTCTGCTGGGGTACCATCGCTGCCTGGGGATTTTTGGAATTTATTTATTTTTTTTTTCTATAGATATTTTCCTCATTTCGGTACTATAGTTCTATGTTTTTGGTAGGTTCCCCTTCCAGTAACTCTCGAAAGTATCTTACCCATCGTAACAGGATATCTTTGTTGGTAAGCAAGTTGCCATCCGTAGCATTACAGATGTTGATTCTCGTTTCATTGACTGTCATTTCCTTAAACGCCTCGTTCTTCTCATCTGTTATTTTTATATCCAAAATCTTTCTTGTAAAATATATCTCCATTGTAGAAAGAATTTCCTCGACGAAATCAAAATCCACTACTAATGTATTTAAACTGTTCTGTTTTGCAATAACTGCACCTTTCAGTCAGAATGGTATACATAATGTATTTTTCATACTGCTATTTAGTTTTCGTGATATTATTATTATTATTTCTTGGCTAATTTTTATGCCTTATTGTATACTACCCAGCCTACTGAATATTTCTTTAAAGTATACATCGAACTTTGCTTATTCCTGTGACAGCGCATATTCCTGTCTTGCTCCTCGTTTTATTTTAATCTTTCTAACCCACATATTTTTCACTTTGATGGTCGCGGTTTGATGATAGTAGAGTTATTTGAAGATCTTAAGATCGTGTCAACTCCAGCTAATATCATACAATTAAAAAGGTCGTGTTATACGAGATCAAAGGTATTTCGAAAGGGTATAAACCAGACGCACAAGTTTTTACTAAATTTGCAACTTTTCTGTATGACACGCATGCAGAACAAAGCCACTGGGTTTCCAGTCTGTTTTGAAAATGAAAGTGTGCACGATTCCGTTTCTCCTCATAGATAGAGCAAGCGTAGACCATTCTGAATTCGTAAATTAATCTCTTTGTTTATTAATTGTTCTTATGGGTTAATGAGAACTTCTATATCATCATATTAAACAAATTTTATTTTTTAGTGCTATATTCAAAAAATCTTCGAAGCAATAACGCAAAGTGCTGTGCACTGTCCAGCTCTAATGTGCCAGATATTCTACAACCTGAAGGAGTGTGCCATGAAACATTTTCCGGAAAACAAAGGAGTGCGCTATTCTGTCATATCCGGATTCATATTCCTCAGGTTTTTCGCACCCGCTATTTTAGGTCCAAAACTTTTTGATTTGACTACCCAGACAGTAGTAAGTAATATTTCAGTAGTAAAGTGTATGAATATATAAACATTTTATTGTTAAAAAATATTTTTATCTGTTGATACATCCTATTTAGAGCTTTTTTAGTATAACACTTTATATATATATGTGTATATATATATATATATATATATATATATATATATATATATATATATATATATAGTTTGAGTTTAGTTCTTGAACCTTAATATATATTTTTTAGTGGATTCTCTTGGGCTTAGGTTCATAAAAAAATTTTAGTTTGCTATTAAGACATTTTTATATATTTTTTTTCCGACGTTTCGGCAGGAAATCCATGCCTTTTTCAAGAATATATATTGACTAAAAAAACATTTCATGACAGACATAATATGGTTTAAAAAATAAACTTTTAACTTACCAAGTATGTAAAGATTAGATATTAACAATTAGACGTCACAATTAAAATAATATTAAAACATAGGACATACCCACTAAGTCACTACAAGTAAAATGTATTTTAAATCTAATGTGTTGTTTATTGATGTTAGTTTATCGTTTAAACAATCAGTTATTTTAACATCATAGGCGTTCTGAGATTGACTTTTTATGTGTTTTTAAATTACGTTAAAATATATTTTGTTCAAATTTTTGACATCTTTTTTATCATTTATTGCGTTATTTGTTTTTGTTTATTTGTATAGACTCTAGAAGCTCTCTCTTCTTCCTGTTGGTTTCACTTTTTATTCTTGATATTCAATAAAATTTATTTTTATTCATGTTTTTTCTTTCTTAATTAGTTAGTAACATAAACTCTGTTGCTTGTTTAATAACTGTAATATTATATCAAAATTTTGCAATGAAGGTTTGCATAAACATAGACATTTCCTCTGTCAAACTCACCTAAAATAAATATATAAAAAATAGAAGAGACATGGAAATCTTAGTAATAAGTTTTGACAAAACGAAAAAGTAAATCAAATTTAATGTCATTATGTTAATTAATTTTGCTAATTTTAAAACACAATCCTCACAAGGGTAAGCCTATTGAAGATATAATACCTTCATTTTTCTAATGTAAATTTTTTATGTTAATTTTAGTACGTTTTGAAAAAGAGTAAAATAAACTCGAAAGCTTAACAAACCTAAAAGAGTTTTACTTAAAGGCCAATATATTGACTACTAAACCCAAGATATCCATATATATATATATATATATATATATATATATATATATTAAGTGGTCCTTAAGTAAATGTACAAAAAGACACCGCAGATTCAGATTCTACACTTTAAAATATTACGATTTAAGCCAACTTGCTTTAATAAAATGTTGATATTAAAAAAGATACAAGGTGTTAAAGTGGAAATTTAAAATTTTATTTTTCGCTATAACTTTCATGTTTGTAAACATTTATGTATAAAAATTTACAGTTGGGTACTATTGAATATCAGGAATTATAATTTGATGCAAACTTTGATATAGCTAATAGAGGGCGCCACATATGTGGCATACATTTATATATCCTTCTTTTTCGAGGATCACATAAACGGAAAAATGTATATACATTTTTTGGGCAACGAATTACCGGAAATTTTTAGTACCGTTGAACATACGTGAGAGAATGTGGACATGGAAGGAAAGGAGCGAGAAGGTGGCCTCCATGATTTCCAGAGTTAAACAAACTAGATTTTATTTTCTGGGACAAAATAAAACATAAGGTGTATAAAACACCAGCTACAACTAAAGAATATATAAATAAGGGAATTAAAATTAATATTTAAGATTAAACAGACATGTATTAACTAGTGTAATTCGCTCGTTTGAAGAAAACTTGCGTGTTTTATGGAATGTATTGACAAATAAATTGTCAGAAAATGGTGGACATATTGAACACTTACTTTGACAAAAAGTTTAATGTTATTTAGTCTAACTATTTCTTAATTTGGTTTGTAAATAAAATGTTTTGATTATGACTTTGATTTAATACAAAACGTAAAATGTTTGATGTAAAATCCAATTATTCTGTTATTAATAAAATCCTATTATTTTATCCTGTTGATATATTTATTTTATTTAATAATTTGTTAACTATTAACTTTATCAAAGGTATTTTATACCAAAATTCAGTAGTATTGATGTTCTTCTTTAATTTTCTTTCGTTGCCGGAGTAATTGCGATAAATGAGAATTATGTAGTTGATTTCTAAAATGCGATTATCTCGAAAACTGTCGAGTTTTGAAGATAGTAACAAGTATACATTTTTTTTTGTTAAAATAATGTATCTTTAATATTTTTTTATTAAAAATACCAGTAACTTGAAGAGCAAAAAAGTTAAGTGCAAGTGTATGCCACATATGTGGCGCTCGCCCTCTATCAGCTACATTAAAGTATACATCAAAATATAATTTCTGATACTTAATAGTACCCAGTTTTTATACATAAATGTTGACAAACATGAAAATTATAGCGAAAAATAAAATTTCAAATTTCCACTTTAACACCCTGTATCTTTCTTAATATCAACATTTTATTAGAGCAACTTGACTTAAATCGTAATATTTTAAAGTGTAGAATCTACAGTTTCTTTTTGTACAATTACTTAAGGACCTGTATATATATACTTCATCTAATTTAGATAACGACTTACGTCATTATCTACGCCAGAGATCGAAGTTGACATAGTTGCCAAAGTATAAAAAAATCCTGTCTCCAATTTAAATCAAATAGATTACATAATTATTGCAAAAGTATTACCATCTCTTTACAACGACTATTTAAATTCTTACGTGACATTTTTGAAATAAAACACACTAATTTTGTTCTAAAAAGAACAGATTTTATTAAATAGTTAAAAATATAAAACAAGAGATATTCACTTTAAAATTCAAAATAATGAATTACAAAAAGTGTCAACACCGCAACTGTCAAATAAGTGTTACCAATTTATGCCAAAATTTTAGCTTTGTTCGATTACAGTTACAGTGTGTTCCGAACAAATGTTCTTGATAAAAACGCTTTATAATGCATTTATACAAATTAAATGAAACATATTAGGTTAGGTTAGGTTAGGTTAGGTTACCTATTGTGTATTTCTTTAAGTTAACATTAATAGAAATTTTTAAATATTATTTCTACGCGTATATAATAAAATATGTCTAGTGGCTGTAATGCCAGTGTACTCGGTAAAGTGATTCTAAAAAAGAACACACCTACACCCTAAATATTTTGTGTTGGTATCATGTGACGTCACAGGCTATGACGCCGATGACGTGCATCGTTATATAAATTTGATGAAGTGTATATATACACGAAAAAATAATTTAAATGAAAGTTCCAGCTAGATAGATTTAAAAATATTTTAAATATACAGGGCCCTTTATATTAACAGTTTAAAAGATACAGGTAATTTAAAAGATAATTACATTTTTTCATTACTTTCTTAGCACAATTAACACCCTGTAGAATTGTAGAGATTTGACATTAAAAGATATATTTATTTTCAAAAGATTTTTAATACATTCTATTGTCTAAAATTATTAATATAGCGAAATATTTAATTTTTGTATACAGTGTTGGTTGGAACTTGGAATGAGTTATTTTTTATATTTAATTATTTTTTAACTTATTCTTTATTATTTATTAAGCATGTCATATAACTGCCTCCTTTAATTTGTAAGTTATTCGTGATTGTTTTAGTGACACATTAATTAAAACAAAAATTAAGTAAAATTTTATTAGGTTGGCCGTGAAAAAATACATAACAATCTAGACTGACCCTTAATTTGTTATTATTTAATATCAAAATGTCTAAGTAGTTAAAAGTAACGTTTAATATACAAATAAACTTAAATGTAAAAAAATATATTAAATTAAACAAAAAAATCGTTGAATATATAATAAATGTTCAAATTTGACTCCGTCGATATCAATACATTCATCAAACACGCAAGTTTTCTTCAAACGAGCGAATTACACTAGTTAATACATGTCTGTTTAATCTTAAATATTCATTTCTAATTCCCTTATTTATATATTCTTTAGTTGTAGCTGGTGTTTTATACACCTTATATTTTATTTTGTCCCAGAAAATAAAATCTAGCTTGTTTAACTCTGGAAATCATGGAGGCCACCTTCTCGCCCCTTTCCTTCCATGCCCACATTCTCTTACGTATGTTCAACGGTACTAAAAATTTCCGGTAATTCGTTGTCCAAAAAATGTATATACATTTTTCCGTTTATGTGATCCTCGAAAAAGAAGGATATATGACATAATTTCTAGGAATTCCAGCCCAAAATATTTAACGATAAATTGTGGGTGAAAATGTAGCAATAGTAATAGCAGAAACTATTTATGTTTACAACACAATTTTAGTCGAAAGAAGCTTTATCTCCAAATAAAACGTATTCCAAGAAATATGCATCATTCTAGATTAAAAAAAAGAGGGTAGTCTTCGTAAATGGGTATATTTATTTAAAAAACCCTTAAAAGGGCTACATCAAAAAAACAAACGTTTTCGGACTAAACAGTCCATCATCAGGTTTAAAATTGCCTAAAATAAGTATAAACCATTTAGTCATACACATTCCATACGACCAAAAGTAACATAGGTTGCCTAATGCACATGTCATTCTCTTAAACATGACTTTAACACCAACGGTAATTCCACATCTTTTATACCCTACATTAATAAATCAAAAGTTTTTAAATCCCAACACCTGGATTGCTGTTATTATTTTTAATATCATAAAAAAAATTTTTGAATCTTTTGGCTGCAGGAATACTATGTATAACTAATATAGTTTCATGTTACATTGATATTTGGTTTTCGACACCGTTCATAAGTATCTTGTCAATCAGTTACCAGCTGTAGTCCGTTTGAAGAGGTTCACTCTCCGGACACTGGAAGTCACTTCAAACATGTTACCTGAAGTCAAATTCAATTAAATATTTAACATCGAATTTTAATAACAACAATATGTACAATCTTTAACAACTACATGTAATTTAAAGGGTTTTTACCCTGGTATTTTGGTGGCTCGGGCATTTTAAAATAGTAAGTATAACCATTTTTGCTTTTTAACCCTAGTCAAAATTTAAAAATAACCACGTTGACTAAATGGTTTATACTTATTTTAGGCAATTTTAAACCTGATGATGGACTGTTTAGTCCGAAAACGTTTGTTTTTTTGATGTAGCCCTTTTAAGGGTTTTTTTTTTAAATAAATATACCCATTTACGAAGACTAACCTCTTTTTTGTGATACGTGGTATACAGCCAGCTACAGGAATTGTTTTCCTTGTGGATTCTAGATTTGTTCCTGCGCCTACCGACAAAATACTACTCTTTTATTATAGATATCCTCATTATATCATATTATTTCTTTCTTATTTGATTTCGTGAAAGGTGAGAGGATTGTGCCGGGCCAAAAAATGTCTGTGCTGTGTATAGTTATCTATATATAGAATATCATTACATTTGATGTTTTTCTACATTATCAAGCTTGGCAAATAATTTGAATATTAATGACGTACTTCTAGACGTGTGAACAAAAAATACTTTTAAAATGCATAAAAAACTTTTGACTGTAGTACTCCTGAAAATTAAAAAACCGAATTTGGAAATAATAATTTTAAGGTCTTAAATTGAACCGCGATACACTCATTATATAATATTACTCGTGTTAACAAATCAATTCGTTTGTTTAGGACTGTCAGACGAACCGGACGCTTACGTTAATATCTAAGACCATCCAGTCTCTGGGCAACTTGGTTAGTTGTAGATCGACGCAGCAAGTGTGCAAAGAAGAGTACATGGAGGGTCTGTATAAGGAGTTCTATACAGAGACGCACATGACAGCTGTCCGGCAGTTTTTGGAGATAATATCCGCCAATACTTCTAGTCAACAGGTTATCGAGAACGATATGCCAGTTATGTTAAAAGAAGGGTAAGTGGTATTTCTAATAATAGTATTAAATGTCTTTTTTGATGAGTTTTAATATGTCTTTATCATAATTATATCCTTTCTTCGTCAATATTATGTGAAATACATGATATTCTCTAGAACTCTTGAAATTTAACAACTTTGAGGCAAAATTCAATAATATTAATTGTTTCCACGCTACCCTAACAATCCGATAGATTCTAGAATGATTTAACTTTGGCCTTAAAATACGCTTAGTTTCCGCAATTATCTTTTCTTCTTCTTGATTCTGTTTCTAATATATCGATTCTATCTTCTTGTGTTTTTACTCTGAATTGGAATTTTTTGTTATTTTCTTTTAGGTCGTTAGGATTCGCTTCTCTTAGTTCAGCAATATATTTGGTGATGGAGTCGACGTTTCCTTGCATTCTCACTCTAGTGTATTCAACTTTCCAAGAACCATATCAATGTTCGACTCGATTTTTTCAGTTGGAATTTATTTAATTCTGCATCGCACTCTGTTTTATATATCTGCTTGAAGGCGTATCTATCGGGTTTTATCACTGGTGTTATAGTTGCCATTATCGACAGAAATTGTTGGGTACATTTAATCATGTTGAAAAAGATATTAACAGTGGTCCGACTGGTCATAGTATTTGATCAACTGTAACAAACGAGGCTTTGAAACCCACTTTGAACACAACTTTATCATGATACACGTTATTGCAAAATAGTGAATACATTGCCTCCTGATATCTTCGATCTCTGCTATCTCACGAAACTTCAATTCTCTACTGATCAAAGCGATTTGTTTTCAGGAACAATTGTCGAACTTAGACCACAAAAGCGTTCAGCATTATTTGAATCAATATGACTACGCTAGAAGTTAACAGACCACTTCTTAGCAGTTATTTCTGGTGGAACAAATTCCTAGGAACACTTATCACACAATGATTTCTCAACACACAAACTTCAAAATTTTCCATTTTTTTGAAATTTGCAAAAGAGCATCACTTAAACCATTGCAACTCATCAACTAATGGTCCCATTGTGGTCAAACTTTGATGGGTGACGTTTGAATATTGTTACTTTATAAATCTAGCATTTATTAACATTTGTTATTTAGCTGCCATCTACATGTCACCTCCAGAACTTTCTGACTAATGATAAAATTAATGTATTTAAATAAAATAATGTCTTGTAGTAATGAAAATATTAATAATAATTTGTTCTTGTTTCTGCTGCAGAGTGATAACAAGGTAAAGTACCTACCTTAAATAAACTTTTTTTAAAATTACTAATTACAGATCATATTGATTTTATTAATTTTAAATTTCTTTCAGGCTTATGATCAAGAGAGCACAAGGAAGAAAACGATTTGGGAGGAAGAACTTCAAACAGCGATACTTTAAGCTTACTACTCATGATCTCAGCTATTCCAAAAGTAGAGGTAAGTGAACTATGATCTCTTAAATATAATAACAAGCCGATAATAGCAACGAAATTCTGAAGTGTATCCCTTCCTCGAAAATAATCAAGTGTAATTGGCTCTTTCCTGTATGTGGATTTACAATATTGTAATAAAATAAAATGTGAACACGTTTATTTCAAAGTAGTAACAATTTGTGACGGTACCACTCAATAATAACACATAGACTACAGACGGGGTTGCATTTTTGTTGTTTATTTAGAATTATTGTGCTTTTTCAAAAATAATCTGAACTACAATTATCTTTTTTTATTTTTTAGAATGCATATTACAGCCAAAACATGTACTGAGATTGGTATAAAACTTATTCTGGTATATACTTAACGGATTCTGTTTTTCCATTCTTTACTGTTATCATTGTGTATCAGACTCTATTTTCTATTGTAAAAATAAAGCAACCAGCTAGATCAGTGAATGCCAATTGTTTAAAAATAAAACGACACCTCAGACGTGTAACTACAAAACGACATTTGAGATGCCAATTTTAATGTTAGGGCGTCGATTAGCTATGAGATAACTTAGAAATGAGAAATTTGGCAGGGACAAATAAAAGATTATCCTAACTGATAATATTTATTGAATATAAAGAAATAAAATTTAGTGCAAACAAAAAACAAATCTTGCCCAAGCTTTACAAAACATAAAAATGTAAAAAAGGTTACATAATTTCTAAAAAGGTTATATTATTAGTGAATGATTTTAATTTAAACAAAAGTTGAAACATTGAAAATCTAAGTAAAATTTATAATTACATTATTTCTTTATACCTCATTCATAACACCACCAAAATGTGTACCACTTGTTGGTAATATAATTGTCAAAAACAAATTAAACTACAAACTAACTTTCTCTCGAAGTTGGCATTTATGACATTAAGAGTTATTTGTAATTTTTAATTGTTTGCTATTCTCATTTATGTATAAACCCCCTCTGTGGCTCAGTGGTAAGAGCGCCTACCTTTGAACGTAAAGGTCGTGAGTTCGAATCTCACCTGGGTGGAGAAATTTTCGTTTATTAAAAATTAATAAATAAAAATAATTTCTATCCTTGTGCGATCGGTACTCACCGGAGGGACCGCAGAGGTTCGGATACAATTAGCGTCTCTTAACAAAGACAATGACGTCGACTTTACTAAGTATCAAGACAATTACTCTACACCTACACACACACACACACACACACTACACTAGGTACCTGATTGTAAATATTCACTGTATCATGCCAATGACCATTAGTTGTCGACGCATTAAACTCAATAAAAAAACTTATGTATAATTTATCAAAATTTAAATTTTTGTTTAAATAATTTTTCCAAATAATTTTTTAAAATAATTCAAAAAGAAGGAGAAATATTTATCAGATCAAAAAGTGTTTATGTTTTGTTTAATACGTTTTGCAGCAAATTCATTAACAAACCTAATTGTATTTGTATAGTAGTAAAAAATAGTTCTGTAATAGCCCCTTTTTATTTACTCCAACCCATCCAAACTTAGGTTTATTTTTTCCAAACGAGTCAATAAGTACTTCTTTTTTCTTCACATGTATCACTTCTGGAGGAGATGCTGAATGTATTCTCATATGGAGCTAATTATAGATTTCAGATGGTGATGTATGCAGGCTTCGATGGAGATGTTGGTCCATCGTGGTAGCAGCTAGGATTGTAGGCTTGCTACATCCCTTTAATAACGAGTTGTGAACACGTATGTAGTCACCCCAAAAGGGGAACAAAACAAACCAAATATAAAAAAACCCAAGAAAAGAGATTATGAAATAAAATGAACTAACATTTTTGTTTAAATACACATTCCCTACTACAATTCTTTTGAATTGAATTTGACATTGAAAAATCGGAATTATCACCACACAAACAAATTTGTAGCTAGTTGAAAGTAGGAGAAAGTTAGTTTACAAAGATTAAATGAGAATATATCTAAAATAATTGAAAAATTTAAATTAGAGAACAGCAATTTAAACAGAATATTTAGTTGATAGAAAAGTTGAGCACCAACTATTTTTTAGAAGAAAAATGACCAAGTGACGTTTAGAACGTTACTCTATCCAAGAGGGTTTTAATAAGAAACTCAGCATTTGTCAGTAAAACAGGTTTTATTTCCTGGACTATATATAAACGAATATTCTAATCGTAATATATAGAAGTCGGCGTTAGAGATGGAATTTAGGGCTTTATCACTATCGGATGGCCACAAGGGATCGGAATATACTTTATGGATAACTCTGGCCCAAATATGAGAACACTGAGCGTAATATGCTATAAATGTTTCGTACTCTCGACTGCTAGTTCACACCAACAATTCTGTAGACGATTCGTATGTAAGGGACGGAAGGTCTATATCAGCCCGCCAAAGATAAGGGGTCAGGTTTATCCCATAATGTCTTACCGGCCGATTTTTCTAAGGGTTTTCATCTCTACTGTTTCTAGTAGTATTTTTGCCCTCTCTGTGTCAAGTCATGTTTCTCTCGCATATGTCGTTATTGGTCTGATGACTGTTTTGTAAATTCCGCTGTTCATTTATTTCCCGATATTTTTGTTTCTCCATATTGTTTCATTCAGGCAACCTGCGGCTCTGCTTGCTCTATTCACTTGATCTTCCACTTCTGTTTCGAACCTTCCGTAGCTAGATGGTGTGATGCCTAGATATTTAAACCATCATTTGTTGTATAATCTAACTCTTCAGCTCTAATTTCTATCTTAGTAGTAGATTTCTTGATGAGCCTCACAGAACCTGCCATTCGCATTATCTGTTAGTTCGATTTTGTTCAGGTGCCCCTTGTGGCGACAGTGTCCTGTTTGGAGACCTACGATAATTCGCAGCGCATGCCAACGACAGGTACTGGGCCTACGAATGTTTCTTTCTGTAAAGTTTATAACGTGTGTAGTTTTTATAAAAAATAGTGTACTCCACTAAAACTTAAAATTAAAAATCTTTGTAAAATAATTTAATATCATTCCATAACAAAGTTATTTATTTATTTATGTATTTTATATGTTTAAATCAATATACACTGTATATTTTGTCGTTTTAAGGTAAAGATGCTCTCTGTCGAATACCTTTGACGAATATCCTGGCGGTGGAGAGGCTGGCCGAAACATCGTTTAAGATGAAAAATATGTTTCAAATCGTTCAACCAGAAAGGGCGCTGTACGTTCAAGCGGCCAATTGCGTGGAAGAGAAAGAATGGGTCGACCTTCTTACCAAGATCTGTCAAACGAACGCCAATCGATTGAAAAAGTATCATCCGTCGGCGTTTATCAATAGTCAGTGGTTGTGGTAAGTTTCTTTTAGTTAATAATGATATATATCTGTCGTAGGCAAGTATGAAATGCAGGTATTCTTGCAAAAGCCTAGTCATTTTCGTAATGACTTGGCAATTTGTATAACGTTTTCATTTTTTACAAAATGACTTCACCCTTTAGGCATTTGTGAAACTACCGGAAACGGTAATTCTAGTTTGAAACAGTGTTGCAATTTAGGCACAGAAAGTACATCAGCGTTTACAAAAGTTTACGTTTACAGTCTAAGTAGTGTACTATTAGGTCACATTACATATATTCGACATGGCTAATCGGGCAAAATTCTATGAAGAATTACATAAATTTTACTCAAGTAAGTTGACGTAACTTCTAAATTTTTCTAGATTTCTCGGAATCATATTAAAACTCATTGTAGGAAAATAGGTAGTAATGCTTGATTGAAATTTTTTTTGCAGATGTAAATAGCTTTAAAAACCCGTAAAATTTATTTAATTCTTCATATAATTTTTCCCTGTTTGCCATGTCTAATATCTGTAATGTGACCTAATAGTACACTATAGACTATAAGTGTAAACTTTTGTAAACGCTGCTGTAATGTGTCATCATAGAAATTGGAAAACTAGGATTAGAGAATTAGGTTAGTACACATTTTTTTTATATTATATGATCTATTTACAACTATCTGTTTCCGGCAATTTCGCAAACGTCTAAAAGGTGAAGTCATTTCGTAAAACTGAAAACGTTATACAAACTGCCAAGTCATTACGAAAATGACTAGGCTTTTGCAAATATGCCTGCATTTCATACTTGCCTACGACATATCCATGTTTTACATGAGTTTACTAGTTACTGGATATTTTTATTATGTTATACTTGGAGATTATAAGGCATTATAAGAAATAATGAAAATTAAAGGTTCAAATTTAAGCTATACGACTCATTTCCTCTCAGTAGAAAATTCACCAATTCCAGATGTATCAAAAAGATTCAGCTCTGGATGGACTCTTTCCATGTTGTCGAGTCCTATGTGGCCTGGTATGCTGACGTATCTCACAAAAATTTTCGTGCGCATTTGGACGTCACGAGCAGTGTTGTAATTGAGTCTGTATTTGGTGTACAGGTGAATTTCCCACAGTGAATCCCCATTGATAATGTCCAATAATACCCTTTGTAAGGAGCTTGTCTCTTAAAAAGTAAGTTGCCCACTATTTTATATGCAGATACTGAGAAAGTAATGCCTCTATTGTTCTTGCAATCAAGTTGATCACCCTTTTTACGAAGCGGGCAAATTATTCCCTTTAGCCTCACCTCCTATATCATTTCTTTTTGCCATATAAGTGCTATTAGTTGGATTGCTGCCAAAAGTTGCTCATAATCTTCCTTATACATATCAGAGCAGATTTCGACCTTCCGGAGGTTAATTATTTTTAAATTTTTTGATGGCATTTGACACTTCTTCTCTTGTTGGTGCTTCACTGTGTAGTTGCTGATGTACGTCTAGTGGATTTTTTATGTTATCGCCTTCTTCAACAAAATTTAAAGCGGAAACAAAATTTAAAAGATCACTGGAATGTTGTGTCTATATATTTTCATGATTATAGTAATTCTTTTTTAACCATTCATTTATTCACTTACATATGTTTTTACTTTTTCTCTATAACTAATAATGCAATGATTTTACAACTTACACAACTAAAATAATATTGTACGGCATAGGTTTACAAGTAAAGTTATTGTGTCACGATTGTGCAGTATGCATATTGATTGCTGGTACTATGTTTTTGGGATTGTATATTTTTTAAGTCATATAAAAACTGTTTTTTAATATACATCTTTTTTTATATACACCTAGAAGATTATAGGACAATAAGCCTAATGAGCCATGTGCTGAAGCTGTTTTTAAAGGTCATCCACAAAAGAATTTACCGGAAATGCGAGAAACAAATTGCACCCAATCAGTTTGGATTTGTGAACGCCGTTGGTACGAGGGAAGCTTTATTTGTCGAGCAGATCTTGTTTCAGAAATGTAGAGATGTCAGCTGTAATGTTTTTGCATGCATGATTGACTACAAGAAGGCTTTCGATAGAGTCAGGCATGAACAAATGATGGAAGTGCTGAAGAGGACAGGGATTGAAGGAAGAGACTTAAAAATTATAGCTAATCTGTATTGGAATCAATCAGCGGTACTCCGAATAGATGGAGAATATACAGATCAGGTCAAAATCTTAAGGGGAGTGAGACAGGGGTGCATAATTTCACCACTGATATTCAATCTGTACTCGGAGCACATTTTTGAAGAGGCCCTAAAAGATATTGATGAAGCCATCTCAATAAATGGAGTCAAGCTCAATAACCTGCGGTATGCAGATGATACAATAGTGTTTTCCAATACCATAGAACGGCTGCAAAACTTAATGAACAGAATAACGGAAACCAGTAGAACATATGGACTGGATATAAACAGCAGCAAAACCAAGCTAGTGATCATCAGCAAGGAAAACATAACTGGAGCAAATCTGTATGTGAACCAAATGAGAATTCAACGTGTCTCACAATACAATTACTTGGGAACTATAATAAATGAGTCGTTACACAATACCCAAGAGATTAAATGTCGCATCGGAAAGGCCAAAAGTGCATTCTTGACTATAAGCTCTGTGTTCAAGAGCCATGACCTCACCTTGAAAACAAAAATAAGGCTTCGTAAATTTTACGTGTACTCAGTTCTTCTGTATGGAGTAGAAACGTGGACATTGAAGGTAGAAACTCTGTCAAAACTTCAGGATTTTGAGCTATGGTTTTACAGAAGAATCCTGAAGATACCATGGACAGACAGAGTCACCAATGAAGAAGTACTGCGGAGGATGAACACAACCGCGGATTTGGTCAACATCGTGAAGAGCCGTAAGCTGGAGTACTTGAGACATATAATGAGAAATCAAGACAGATACGAGCTACTCCAATGCATTTTGCGGGGTAAAATTGAAGGAAAAATAACCCCAGAACAAAGAAGAATATCCTGGCTTGCTAACCTGAGAGCATGGTATAGAAAGACCTCAACACAGCTATTTCGTATAGCAACCAACAAAATCATCATAGCCAGAATGATCGTCAACGTTCGAAACGGACAGGCACCCTAAGAAGATTTTCAATTTATCTAGTGATTTTTGTTTAAGTTTTCCCGCCTCTACTACTTGCTGTATCCATTTTTTTCTTGGTCTGCCTCTTTATCTTTTTCCGATGTTTTTTGCTTCATAAACTTTTCTTGTTATTCTATTGGATTGCATCCTCATCAGATGCCCATACCAGTTCATTTGTCTCTTTTCTATTTTGTTCATTATCGGTTCCTGGTTGGCCATTTTTCTAATAGTCTCGTTGCTTAATCTATCCCATTTTGTCTTTCCAATTATCCTTCTTAGATGTCTCATCTCCATTGCGTTTATCCTCTTCTTATATTTTTCCAGAATTGTCCAGTTTTCACTTGCATAGAGCACAGTCGGTATCACTATTGTGTTATATATTTTTATTCTTATTTCTCGTGCAAGTTCTCTTTTTCTCATTATTGGGGCTAATGCATAGTATAACTTGTTTGATTTCTTTGCTCTCTTTGTTATTTCCCAGTCCATTTTTCCGTTATTAGTTATTATACTTCCCAGGTATCCGTAAGTTGTTACTATTTCCAATTCTGAGTTTTTACATTTTATCTGTATTTGATTATCTTCCTTATCTCCTTTCCCGCTGATTATCATTATCTCTGACTGAATTTATCTTCTTACTAACTGCCTCCTCAATGAAAATCCCCGTTATTATATATAAAATGGCGTTATCTAGAAGGGTCTGGCGATGCATCGATGACCTTCCATCCATTAGGTGACTCATTGACTGGTCTTCGAAGGGTCTAGTAATTTCTGCCGGCAGGTAAACAGGTCTGAGCGCCGAAATTACTAGAAATAGAAAAGAATTAGTCATAATATATTTACAGTTTTATATGCCATAATATTTATTATCGTAACATCTATTTGGGCTGTGATTATTTTAGATGATACTGCTTCGTAGTTTGTTATTCTTGATTCTATTCTTTTATTCACTATTATACCGACTCCTTCTTTTGATCTGTGACCCTGTGGTACTCCGGAATAATGTAGACTATATTTCTCATTGATATTTTTGTGTGCTTTCCCTCTCTTTTTTGTCTCGCTTATTTCCATTATTTGTACCTTCATTTTTTCCATTTCTTTCGTAGCTTCTATTTCCTTGCCGGTCAGAGATGTCACATTCCATGTCGCTATTCCTATATGATTTGTCTTGTTATGATGTATTTCCTTATTACTATATTCTTAGTCTCCATTATTAGTGTTATCGTTGATTTCATGCTCCCTGGTTTTTGTATTAACATTATATCCGTTATTTATTTTATTACGTTTTTATTTTTAATACTAATATTTAATTTTTTCCTAGCTTAATTACTAATGCTATGCCCATTATTGATATTCTTCTTAACTATAATATTATCACTACTGTTAGTATGCCTAATACTCATATTCCTATCACAAGTCATATTTCTAATGGAATATTTATCATTTAAATGTCTAATCACATTCCTATTACTACTTAAAACTAAACATTTATCATCATTGTCCGGTTTATTTAGTAATTCTACTTTCTATATTCGTTGCTGACCTCTCCTTGGTTATTTTTATGTTGCTCTGGTAGTTTTTTGAACTCGCTATTTCCACTACTTTTTCTTCTTTATAGCACCATCTCCATTCCTTGCCGTCTACTGTGATTTTATTGTATCCTATTTTGACTATTTTTCCATTTTCCCTCATTTCTCTTGCTCTATCTCTTAAAGCTTTCATTTTCTCTCTATCTCCTTTTGTGAGATCCTCTGTAATCCATATTTTTTCGATATTCACATTCTTAAGTTTGTATTTGTTTCTTAAGATTGTTGTTTTTTCTTCTTCGCTTTCTAGTTCAATTAAGCATGTTTTTGTGCCTATTTTTTGTACTCTTTTAATATTAGTTTTGACTTCAAGATGATTTTCTAACATAGTAGTCATTCCCCCTTTCAATGTTTTTGGGTCTTCAGAGTCTATTATTGATCCACTAATGATTATATTCATTTTTTTTGTCTAATCTTTCCAATGAGCGTTTTAGATTATTTAATTCTTCCGTTATCTTTTTGTTATCGGTTTTGGTTATTTCGTTTTCTCTTTTCAGTTCTTCTTTCTCTTTTGTCCATTCTTCCTTCACCCTTTCATTTCCAGTTTTATGATTTTTATTTCTTCATAATTTTGTTTTATCTCTTCTTTAACTTCATTTATATATCTTCTGATCTTATTATTTTCTTCCTTCATTTCTGTTTTCAGCTCTTTTATTTCCGTTTTAATCTCCTTATTTATTTCTTCTGGTAGTTTCTTTACTTTTTCCATTTCCCGATTTTTTATGTTATCCTTTGGAGGTGTTCTTAACGTAGCTTTGCTTCTTTTGAAGGCTTCCTCCTAGTCGGATGAGTTATCGTGTTCTGGTTTATTTCTTTTGCTGTTCATTCGATTATGCAGTATGTATATTGATTGCTGGTACTATGTTTTTGGGATTGCATATTTTTTAAGTTATATAAAAACTGTTTTTTAATATACACCCACTGCATCCAAAACGCACTTTATTTCATTTAATAAAATATCTATTTTCCTATTTTTATCATAGTTGTTGAATTATAATGAAATTGAATGATGCTATTTATATACAAATCTGACGTATTAAAAGCAAGACGATTGTTTTAAAAGATACACTATCTAATTTTAAAAGACGATGTCTGAATAACTTCAAAAGTGAGATTTTAACTGTTTCTAATTAAAAAAAAGTGGAACAGTAGGCGGTACTATACATTAGCGAGGAGTTTCATACTATGTTTACTGTATTTTTAAAATTTAAATAATGTATTTAAAATTAAATAAAGTAATTTTAATATTTATTTATTTTTTATATTTAAACAAATTTAATAAATTATTATGTTTGCTCATAACGCTATCTGCTAACATATTGACAAAGCATATATTGTTTATAAACCTGTAAAATTCAGACCAAATATTAATAATAAAATAAAAAATATCATTTGATAGTAAATTTAATTATTATATAAACTAAATAATGTGTTTAAAAATAATAATTATATTTATATGAAATTATTTTAAAATAAGAATTATTATAAAAATTTAAACAGATGATTCAATGTTGTTATTAATGAATGGTAGTGACATAATTATATTCTTTTAATTTTTTACTTCTTATTTAATCTCTATATTTTGTTTTGATCGAATGAATTGATCGAGAGTAGTCAATTTATGTCAAAACCGGTAGTCTATGACGCTAGCAGTGACGATGCTATTTCGTGGCGCTAGTTCCGTGACGCTCGCTTCAAAAATTAGCGGAACATTCGGTCATTAACCTAAAGACAAATTTAGGATGCGCCTAAATTGATTTCTGATTGAGGACTTTCATTTGAAATATACCTTGATTGACGACCATGTTTAGTTTTAAATAAGCTTAGTAAATACTAAAAATTATCGCTTAAAAAATATTTATCCTCCAAAAAAATTCAGGGGCGTACAAAATCTTCTGAAAATAATTTAAAAATATCAGTATAATCGGTTTTAAGGTCTAAATTTTTTTAAACAAATTATATTTTGTTCATTTTCAGTTGTAAATCTCCGAACGAATTAGCACCCGGCTGTAGCGAGGTATCTCGAACTGATAGCAACTACCGCATGAACCTGGATCCCGAACGCGATTTACAGCGGGTTCATTCCTTGGTCATCAACCATTTGGATACTCTCGAAACGTTATGCATTGACTTATGTTCGAGCAAAGTGCATGGAGAGGGAGTAACCGCCGAGGCTGCTATTCTTTGTGACATCTTGAACCGACTAAGGGAAGTTGCGTACCAGATAGAGCAGAAACATCGGATCTACAAGAGGACGATGGATAGAAATACAAAATATGGCAGCCTGTAAGTACTTACCATTTATTATTTAGTTTTTGAGTGTAAATAAACAGTGAATTTTGAGTGTGAAGTATAATGTGTAACACTAACCCAATGTTAAATGCTAGTAATGTCAAATACACTCAAAATGTCAGTTTTAATACGTATTTCAGGAAGTCCCGGGTTTGAGAAATATGGGGATAGTCATGGGTTTACGGGTCTTTTTGAAAATCAGAATCAACGGGTCTGGATCACTTAAGAAACCCGGGTCAGTAATCCGATCCTTAGGTTATTTGGATCTTTAGTGATACAACTAGTACATTAAAAATACAGACTTGTGTCAATGAACAGTTACATTTTGGGAGGTTAGCTACCGCACCCTGAATAGGTGTCTAAAGGATCTTTAGTTTGCTAAAAAGAATAATAAAACGCAATAAAAATAATAAAATAGTAATAAAAGTAAAAAGAGTAAGAATAAAACTTTGAATTATATAAATTGTTTGCATACAAAAATAAATATTTTAAAATTATTATTCTTCTAAGGAAGGTAACATGAAGGTAACAACTACAAATTTGAGCTCAATCGGACGCTTAATTTACAAATTACAGTTGTTAGTTAATACAAGTTAACAATGAAAATGGACATTGAAGGCGGAAACTCTATCAAAACTTCAGGCGTTTGAATTATGGTTATACAGAAGAATCCTGAAGATACCATGGACAGACAAAGTCACCAATTAAGAAGTACTGCGGAGGATGAACACAACCGCGGATTTGGTCAACATTGTGAAGAGCCGTAAGCTGGAGTACTTGGGACATATAATGAGAAATCAAGGCAGATACGAGCTACTCCAATGCATTTTACAGGGTAAAATTAAAGGAAAAAGAGCCCCAGGACGAAGAAGAATATCCTGGCTTGCTAACCTGAGAACATGATATAGAAAGACCTCAACACAGCTATTTCATATAGCAACCAACAAAATCATCATAGCCAGAATGATCACCAACGTTCGGAACGGACAGGCACCCTAAGAAGAAGAAGAACAATGAAAAAATCCTATTTTCGTGTATTGATAAAGCATTCATTACTTCCTGATGTTAAAAATACTATTCAAGCAAAGCAATGGCTTGGTGTTATTCGGTCTTTGCTCCATTAGAAACAGGGTTTAAGAAGTGACATACTGACATTAAACAGACATAATTGACGCTGAACGCTGTGGTCGCATAAATTCGGCAATTGTCTCGGAAAATTTAACAATTGGCTGTCAACAAAGCAAAGGTTTAAGTTATCATGTTTCTTTAGCAGCTGCTCAATCTCTTTGTATCTGTCACTATACCATCTTTCCTTGGCCGCTCTGATCTTGCATCATTTCTGTATGTATAGTGTTAAAGATGTTTCCGCCTCTGGTTTCATAAAATTTCATTTCTTACATGAGATCCAGAATCTCCTCGGTGATCCATTCATTTCTCATATTTAGTTGGCTTAGGTGTTAGTGTTTTCTCTGTGTGTATGAGGGCATTTTTCTACATGTGTTCTACAATAATTTCTATTTTAATGAGATCTTTTTTAATTTTCTGTGTGGCATGTTAATTTTTTGTTGGGTCTGAATACATATTCTGTCTAATTTAGTTTTAGCTGCGAGCTTTTTTAGTTTAATTTTAAACCTTCCTACGAGTGGGTTGAGCTTGATGTCTCATCAGCTCCAGGATATGTTATCTATCCAGAAGATTGTCAATTTGATTTCTAATGATATTATCTTGGTTGTCTGCTGGAGATTTCTATGTTTAGTCTCCTGGCCGATAGATCATAATTAGTATTCCCAACAATAAAATCGTTCTCTTGGCAGAATTGAGCCAGTCTTTCTCCTCTCTCATAACGAGTACCAAGTTCAAAGATTCCAATAAAATCTCCTTTATTTCCTTTACCCATTTTTGCATTAAAGCTCCTATTACTATTGTAACGTTTCTAGGTTTGGTTACTTTTAATGCTTGTTCTAATTTGTTGTAAAATTGTTCTTCTAGTTCTACATCCGACTTAGCTCTTTATCTGCGGTTGTAGCATATACTTGAATTGTATTAACTCTAGACTGGGCTGTTTTAAATGTTACCGTCATGACACGTATCTGAGATGGGAAGGAAGCCAGTTATAAACTTCTGGGTGATTTTATCAACTAATGTCGCTATTCTGTTCCAATGATTTGGGTCATTTCATTACCAGAGTAGTATATTTTTGTTGGGCCTACTAATATGTCACCTGAATTGGACCATCTGGATTTACTTAGTCCTAATATCTTCTTTTAATGTAGACATGACTCTGTGTGTTTTTTAATATGCCTCCAGTAAGTTATCGTTCCATCGTTTTTGTGGTCTTATTACTGATCGTCTTCCTATTAGGGAACCGTCTATTGTCTTTACTACTCTCTTTGTTGTCATTCGGCTTATATGATCGTTCCATTCCACTCTTCTATTTCTTCCCAGTCCTTGATGTTCTCCACCTTGCATCTACTTCGTATATCTGTACTTCTAGCTATGTACCATAGTCCTAATATGGTTATGTAAAATCTTTCCAGTTCCATTATAACATTATGAACTTTCTGCTTGTTATTTACATAACATTCCACGTGCGAATCTTCATTGTACTATTACCATTATACTATTAAACACATTTTTGGATAATTCGACTTCGGGGCCGATTTCCCAACCCCAGAAGAATAGGGTGCCCTACCACTTATCAACTCATCTGTCCAAAACCATTGGTCAGTAAGTGGGGGAGTGCTTATACCGGCAATCATTTGGTGAATTACCTGTTGGTCCGCGGAAATATTTTATTTCTCTCCTACCCACCTGTAAACTGGATTGAGCATTCCCCTGTTCTCTAGAGGTTACAGGTTCTCCCTAGAGTATTGCTTCCGCAGTCACCATATTCTTCAGATCTGAACCACAGCGACTACTGGCTGTTTGCAGACCTGAAAAGAATGCTTAGATTTGGATCAAATTAGGACGTTATTGCATAAACTTGTATTTTAAGATCACATAGAAATCGTTACACAAAGAATTGTTCGGATTGGTAGAATCAGATGAATAAAATTTAATGTTGCTTAAAACTGTTTGGTTAAGTGCGGGACTTATTTAGTGAAGAGATAAACTGTCAGCTGGGCTTAATTGTGAGTTTAATGTTGTTTTGTTTTGTAGTAATATTTCGGATATACTATCAAACTTTTTTAAAATATTATAGTTTTTATGGTTAACATTAAACTTATGCATTTACTTTTGGTTTTCAGAGCAGCACCTATCGGTGACGATAACTACTTACTGGCGTCACGACTCAACGTCGATGCCTCGATTCTGAGAAGATGCGTCTCCAGCGAACCTACCTCTTGTCCCTGACGCATCTAACATAGGAATAACTCATGCTAAAAGGAAAACAAGTTTTTCCAATTCAGAATCTATGAAAGCATTACTTCTCTGACACACCTAACGCTGATTGTATATTGTAAATATTGATTATAAGTTATTTTCAGCTTCAGGTAACAGATACAGACAAAATGACAGGAAATTTAAAAAAGTAAGCTGTTCGAATGTAAAGAACAGATTGCTAGTCTTGCCAGATTTAAAGAAGAAATGTTGAAGTTCAGCCTCGTTAGATACGAAAATCATAACGAAAAGATTTATCATATGTGCTTATGGGCCTAATAATATTGACCAGCACTATAGAAATGTTAAAATTTGTCCTCCAATGTGCGAAACTAATAGATTTGTATGGTTCAAAAATAACACAAACGTAAAGTGGTAAACATAAACTTAAGAATATATTTAATTACCGTGTAATATGGAAACTACAACATATCAAACAAAATAGAGTGCCTGAGTGCGCTGACTGATTCTTTGTAATATTTTTTGTTTTTATACATTATACAAAAATTATATACATATTTTGTAACCAACCCTTCAAACTTCCATACAAATTCTATTGAAGAAAGCACAACAAATCTATTGGATTGTAGTATAATCCATATCTGATTATGAAACAGTGATTCTTTCATAGGTTCAGACGTGACCAGACGAAACGTAACCATTATGTAATGAAGATTCTCAATTGAAGACTGTTCTTTAAGATTATTTTTAGTAAGATAAGAATAACGAAAGAAAACAAAGTAACACCAGTGTATAGCGACTACCTTTATTATTTTTAAAAGGAAACGTTCGAGAACTTTTAAACCGTGGAAAATTGATCGTTTTTAGATCAGTTTTCTGTTATAGGTATTTTAAATAGCTTTAAAGGTATAGACTTTTAATCTGCTTGTGTAACTCAGAAATTTTCTTGTTCGACACAGTTCTTTGATGGTAATAATGAATGTAATAAGTAAACTAAAAAGTTTATTACGTTTCGGTTAAAATATTGAAAGTCAAAACGATAAAAACTTTTATTTTGCTTGTTTTAGAGTTATTTACATATATTTATTTATATATGTTGTAAAATTATGTATAGTTCTTTCATATCAATTAATCTGTTGACAAAACACCCTGAAATAATCCTCTAAGCGTTTTTTAGGGGTTTAGTTAACTCCAGTAATTTAATTGAATTCCTCCAGATCATTCTGTCTTCGATTGTAGCAATCTTATTGATCGCTATATTACTTTTAACCGTCTTCTACCCCACTTCTGTTACGTAAGGAAATAAATAGTAACGGTTAATGTTTTTACATTTTAAAACTTCGCGGTTATATTGCAGTATAAAACTCAATCTATCTTAATTAAGACTAAGTTTTGGAACACCGAAGCGGCCGTTATAATAGCTACAGGTTATGTACACCTTTAGAAGAACCAAATATGTGTGCTATTTAACATGGAATTGAATGTCGTTTCTTTCAAATGGTACAGACAGGGAGAATGTTTTGTATATCTACAGTAGCATTATGTTATGTAACTTATGTCAGGGACCGAAACGACAAAAAACATCATTACCTCAATAGAGGGGAGCTGGAAAATTGCCGGTGCATCTTCGGATGTAAGCTTCCCAATTAAGGTTGTTTAACATGCGACAGTAAATGAAAGGGAAGGATATAATGAATATATTAAGATAAAGAAACAACAAGGCGACTACCAAAAGGGCAGTACACAGCACCTTCGTTATTTGAACGTATAGTTACATACGAGATTATTATTCACAAAACAATATTAATTTTATTTATCTCAAATTAATACTTATAATTTAAACGCAGTTTAAGAAGTTTTCACCTCTAATGGCACTCCCCAAGTGCAATACGTTCTTTTATTTTTTAAATATTTCTCCTCATATTTCAATTTGTTCAAATAGGGTTTTCTGAAATTAAATTTTGAAAGCGTCTGGTCAAATTTATTGGCTCGATAAAATTTTCTGGTTTATTTATTTTACTAAATTAGATGATCATCATCAATGGTGCTACACTTTATAGTAGAGCCTCGATATTCCCAAGTTTATTTCGCCAGTCAGCCCTATCGATTGTCAACCGTTGCCACTTTGCTGCACTTATTTTTCTAACATCTTCGTTTACACCATCCTTCCGTCTAAGCTTTGGCCCCCCTCTCCGTCTACTTCCCACAGGCTGTGACATAAGGATTTCTAGGAGGGTTGTTAGAGGTCATGTCCATGCTAGTCTTCCTATTTTGATAAGAGATACCAGGTCTTTGCCACCAGATATATTTTTTGTATTTGTGGTATATCTCATAGTTATTCCTCCTACTCCAAATACCGTTTTCACAGATGCCATCCTATACTCCGCTCAAGATTTTTCATTCTAATGTGAGCATGAGGTTTTCATCTGTGTCGGAGATGGTCTATGTTTCAGATGCATATGCCAACACTGGTAGTATAAATATTGTGTATATTATTATTTTTCTGTGTTAAGTTTCTACTGTTAATGTGTTTACGCATTCCAAAATAGCACTTGTGATGATAGCACCTGATATGTCTTTGTATTGATTCAACCTTATATAAGACTAAACTAGAAAGAACTATACTAATAGAAAGTAATACAAATTGTTATAAGTACTCATTTTTTCTTGCAGATATATATAAGTACTACCTTTAAGACTATTTATTCACAGTTTCTATTAGCTTCGAACAAGAACGTTGTGAATGTTGTAGGTTAAAAAAGTTTTTCTTTTTGTTAATTACATTTATATCGATTTATTCTATCGTACAGAGAGACTTTCGGTTTGTATATATCTAAAGGTACTAATATAGTATTAATTATTATACTACGTCATTATATACGTACTGTTATATACATCATGTGAGAAGGTAGAACATATGAACCATTCCAAATGAAGATTTAATAATAGGTAAAAAGTCGTAAGGCGTCATAGTCAAATCCATAATCTGTGCAAAGACCACTAATATGTTTTTACAGCAACATCTTCAAAAGCATGTTTCAAAGCTTTTAAGCAACATCAAGACTGCTTCGAAGGGGAAGCGAAATGGGTGCAGCGCTTAACTTATAACGATAATTTGGACGATCGTAGTAGAATATTTCTTTTCTGTGAAAATAAATATCATATCTGGTCGGTTGGTATTTGCTCTAGGCTCAGAAATATAGGATATAATAAGCGACTTTTCGTTAAACGAGAATTTCCAACGAAACAACCTAACACACATCTCCGTTTCTTTTTAAGTGCTGTACTCTTATCAAACGGTTATCTCAACACAATTGGAACTTGGTATACAGCATTCCTAAAAAAGTACAGTTATAATGACTCAACACCATTGATATGTATTCTGCAGTCAGAAAATACACCTCTGACTAGTAACTTCCTTTTACTTCTACTTTACTTTTTACTTCTATCACCAGTTTTAAGAGTAAAATCAAACTTATCTTTTCTTAGGACATGGCTAAATTACTTAAGTTTGCGCTTTTTTTAGTAAACAAAAGTTTTAAGTTTTAAGTTGAACGTATATCAATGATATTTTAAGCATTTTACGATAACACCACATCTAAAATGTCTCTAATTTCACACATAGCTTAATCAGAGTCTGTTGTTCTATACCAGAATATAAAATGCTTACGACATAGCGGAAGAGCCCCCAAATTCGTGTTCGCGATTACATAAAAGTGTTTCATTGTGACAAATAATTGTCTGGCTTGTTTGATACCCAATAAACTCGCCCTTTTCTTCAGTCCTGATCCACCGGAGTGTAGTGGTCATTGTGATGTCGTGTATTTTCGGTCTGCAAAGATCTCTGTCTGTGGTCATTTATTTTAACTCATGCATATATGTCTTTTGCATATTCCTGTAATTTGGTCGATCCATCTATTTGGAGATTTTCCTCGTAATTTTATGCCGTTTACCTTTCCTTGAATAATAAGTATTTCCATGTTTTCTTTTCCCGGTCCCACAACATCTGTAAAGTATTTTAATTGTTGGTATTTTAGTTGTTGATGAATTTTACTGGAGAGTCGTTTGCTGACCTTCAGCTCATTTAAAATTTAATTATTTGTCCTGTGGTCGGTTCACGGAATTTGTAACATTCTTCTCCAATAGAATATTTCAGTGGCGTCTATATTTCTTCTTTTCATTTGTCGTAGGGTCCAAGATTCACATCCGTATGTATTGGGAATAATAAGCAGTTGATATAATTTTTAGAGTTCGTGAATTTTAAGAGTCGTTCCATATTTTGGTCATTTTTCTTAGGCGACTTTAGTTCAGATCACATCTATGTTTCATTTCAGCAGCCGTCTCAAAAGTCCGAATAGCTATGATGATTGCCGACCTCCGCCGCGGAGATGGCACTTGAAGAAGAACAAGAAGATGTTTCATTTCTTCCTGTAGTGACCCTGTGTTTGACCAAATACGTGACTTTCCTCAGTATTTTCTTTTCATTTCTTTGTATATATGTTTTCAATAATATATGCTTTATATGCCAATTGTTTGGTAACGGTTCTTTTCTTCACGTTACATTTTAATAATCTTTAATATCACCATTATTTGGCCTTTTTGCTCATGCATCTAAAACTGCAACAGATATAGGTAAACATTGATTAATTATCAGCACTAAAGGTTATATTACGGAAAATTATGAAACCCACAGTTTTTACTTCCGCAGTATTAGCAAGTCTTGAAAATATTCGGTCCATCTATTTGTTAGTTAATTTTGGCCTGTTCAGATCCCTTTAATTTTCTGGTATCGTCTTAGTTGGCGATATTGGTCTAAATGTGTTTAGGATAAACACTTAAATGTGATAACTGCTACAAAATATGGCACTAAAAATATTACTTTAAGTATCTTATGTGTTTTAAGAATGGTTGGCTCGACCTCTCAGCGGTTTGTAGTGAATAGTTTATTATATTAAATGGCATAATATCCAAAAAAGATCTGAGGTTTTAATTTGAAGTTACTGAGTGAATTGAGTCAGTCGATCTATAAGTAGCACGGTAAGATACAGGGTGTCTCAGTTCACTAAGACTAATTGATTGAATATTATCAAAAGACGTTAAAAGCTATTTATTAGAAGTTTGTTTGGAAAGATTTCTAAGTTCCACTTCCTAACGTGACGTATGACTTTAATAGTTCATAAAGCGGGAAATAAAATATTATTGTTTTTTTTATAATATATAAAAATCAATCTCTAGTAAATATTATGACCATTCTGATGCTAGGATTTTTTATATTTGGCCTTTTTTGTGTTTTTTTACGACAAATAGTATCGGTTTAAAATTTCATCTCTGTACATTACCTATTTTAAAATAAGTTCTAACACTAGCCGGTACGACAATCATTACCCTCGTTAATTCCCGTTGTACAAAACGACAAGTAGATGTAAAAATATCTGCCTGGGTAAACGAATCAAGTTGCGAGTGGTGAACTAAAGTGTACGATCAAATCGAGAATTGAACGCTGTAGTTTTTTACGATCAAGTTTTCCTCGGCAGTTATTTGAAGAGTACAAAATACGTAGATCGATAACAAAGATACATCAGGGTAAAAAAAATATGGAAATAAGCAATAAGTATTCTGGGGGATGATATATTTTTGGACCAGATTATAAGAAAAATATATAAAACACAAGATGTAAGAAGTATTTTGAACATTACTATAAATTAGTAGCAATATTTCGATTTAGATTAGGATAACATTTTAGATATACGGGGTGTATACAGAATTTGTTTAAATCGGAAGTTTGTGTTAAAATTTTAA